AGAGGGGACCAGTCACTTATCAGTAACGCCAAGGTAAGGGATGTTTTGTTCTACGGCCTTTCTGGCCGTATTCATTTGGTTTCTGACCACCCCCGCCCTCTCTTTCACTGCGGTGTACTTGATACTCAAGGTACATCTGATATGTTTATCTGGCCGACTGCCCTTGCACCGACCAACCGTTTTGAGCACCACAGTCTTGCAACATGGACTAGTTCAGTTGTCCCCCCCTCCCGATGGAGCAGTCGACTTGTCCCCATTACTCGAAAGAATTGATCTGCCTCTATCCTGGTCCCCTTTACCTTTCCTTCCATCCTGCTGCAGCTTGCCGAACAGTGTGTCGGTGGGGGGTGTGTATCTGGCACAGACAGCCCAGAAGATGCCACTGGGGCAGACGACGTGTAGCACCTTGCCTAGCCCATATCCACCGCCCATCCATCCACCGCCCCTGTCTGCGTGCCACTTTTGACTTAACCTTGGCTTGACTTGGCCTCCAGATACCGGCTGGATGAGGATCCGAATCCAGCTCTCCCGCCTCTACAATCTCGTCACACTCGGCGGTATTCGCGTCGCTGGCGGGTAACCTCATGTTGTTCATTCACCTCCGTTTGGCGGGTGTCTTGCCCCCTCCCACCCCCTCCCTCACATCAACGTCCACTCCAGTAGCGGCCACCTTGTATATTTCCCACCGCATCATCTCATTATATCCTTGCAGCAGACTGCCGAGCCTCCAGCTCCAGGATGTGGATCTGGCATACTGCTAGCATTAGTGTGGATGAGCAAGGATACATCCGGTTGGAGGTTTTGTTTTGCAGTTGCCATTCGTCATCAGTGTTTACCCAGATCCCATCCCTGCCCTCCCCGGATGCACATCGCCTTGCCACGCCCCCTGGTTGTATGTACAGTACATGGCTAGGATGGCGGCAGCTATCTTCGAGCCCGTCCATCGGTTTGTACGACGGGCGGGGCATCTGTCAACATTGGCCGGCTGCCCTGCTACTTACTTGCAGGCATACGAGAACCAGAGCGACGACCCTGTTAACCGGGGTCGGTAGCTATCAAAGTTCTTTCCATGGGGGAAAAAGAAACTATGCCCTGACGTCCCAACCCTCCCATGCCGTCCACCTCATTTACAAGCTCATAACGTGCTTTCGCTACGATCTTGGACCCCACACTCTGACTCTCTTAAGGCTAGTTGCCTCTCCTTCTTTCCTGTTTTCTGCCCCTCGCAGCACTGGGTAGATACTCGATGTCGACCCAGACTTTCTTTTGGCTGTGACGTTGGATTTGCAAACCATTTGAGCCCGCAAAAAGCAATGCTGCCATATGTCTCTGATCCCTTTTTGCACATCCACCATCCCCTGGCATTCAACCGAGACCTTTCATGCTCTGAAGTGGTTCTGTCCTACTGGATCCACGGCATCCCTTCTTATTGATTCAGGTACCCCATTTTCAGCACAGTTGTTGAGATAATACCTGCCAAAGGCTGGATCCTGCAGGCTTGCCCGAGTTGGCTGACCCGTTGACTGCCTAGACCGCGTCACTTACATTCCCAAAAGTCAACTTGGTTCCGCTGTCTTGTGCCAACGCGGGCGTCATCTGGTACTGCTGCAACGGCGTGATTTGCTACACCATCAACGCTGCACCGACCCTGCAGTTACTTGGGTAGGTCTGACCGCATCCCCCTTCTTTCGTCCCAACAGGTTAGAGCAGGACCAGATCAGGATGGGCGTGTGCGTCCCTCCCCCTTTGCGTCGATGTCTTCGATACCCAAAGGAGCTGCGCTGGGATCTGATACTTCCCCAAAATGTACACGGGCTAAGTGATACCTCGTTCTCTAGGTCTTCCCGCGGAAGAGAGCGAAAGAAGCAAAAAAAGAGAGCTCTCAGCAAGCCTCATCTGCGCTCAGGCCGCTTCAATTTCAGGAACTGCTGCCTTCCGTTGGCCGGCAAGGGAGCCTGCCTTGCACCATTATAACACCCTCCTCCCCTTGGAATGGGACTGTCTCTATTGAGTATTAAAAGTCTTGGACGCCACTCGGGGCTTCTCAGATTTCGCCAGTAAGATCCCTCAACGACCCCATCCTGTCTCACCTCGAGTATCTCCCCAACCAGAAATGACCAAGTGGATGTGGTTCTAACGCCAGGGAAGACATTTGTCAAGCAGATCGGTCTGTAGATACCAGCGTATCAAATCTCCGGGAACGAGGCCTTAAACAACTGGAATTCTCCTATATTGACTGATCCAGCTGGAAGGACCCGCGACGAGACTGGTTTAAACAGCAGAGGCAACCGCTTTTCTTGTTCGAGACAGTGGTTTGCATTTCTTACCTTTGTTCTTCCCTTCAAGAAGGAAAAATCACCACTTTCCCCAGAGTAACTCCTTCTACAAGCAGCTTGATGTCTGCTCCCAAGTTCCAGTCCGCGTCTTACAAGCTTTTCGAGGTGAGTCGCCCCCTCAGACCTTGTTCCATCAACTGGCATACCACTATCTTGGCCTTGATTCCTCCCTCTTTCCTAGGCAATAGACTCTCATGAGCTTGCTAGACAAGAGAAGAATCTCGTCTCTAGATCAGCTGCGTAGCAGTTGCTGAACCAGAAGAACCTTCCTTTATTTTGTTTCGGAAAGTCCGTTTCCTTTGCTGACTTGAAACGGCTGTGCAGCCTGACTACCACCCTCAGAAGCCAATTATTGTTGGCTTGGACGACAGGCTCGAATCGCCAGAGACGCTCACCCTCAGGTACGAAGAAGCTGCCCGCGCGGCAAGCGGGGGAGACCCAAGGGGGGACTCCCCGCCTAGAATTCTAGATATGGCAGCCTACGGAAAGCAGGCACCGCCGCTGCCTTCGATGCATGGTACGTTTAGTGAAGAAGACATTCACAAGACTCTCTCACCTCAAGGATGGGAGACTTGTGATGCTTGGAGCCACGGCACGTGGCTTCGTGGAGATTAAAGGCTAAGGGGGACGAATGAGTAGGTTACGAGAGCACACGATATCAGCCGGCATCCTACGACGCCTACTCAACGCAGGCGTTTCCTCCATCCACCGAGAAGTTTGCGCAGTTGAACCAGCAGGCATTCTCGTCGAACAATGCCGTCAACACAGGGGTCTCCCCATACATGCCCGCGGGACCGGCTGTTCTTTCGTGGCAACCACATACCGGAGTCTATGGAACCAAGGTCTTCCTCAAGTTTTCAGCCCAGTATGACCTTTTTGGCTTGTCGTCTGCGATCCCTTACTTCTTCCTGCAGTTTGGCTCAGAGAAATGCCCGATGCAGGACGTGACCAGAGACAACCAGGATACAAATGGGTTTGTCTACTCGTGCAGTGCCGACGCACCTCAGTTCTTGGTCACAGGTAGCGAAAGCAATAACGTGCCACTGGTACTGCTGATTGAAGGCGCGGCAGGAGAGGAGATCTCGAGGACAGCAGTCGGCACCTTTCAATATGTCCCTGGGTCGGGGGATGACATCACGCGCCCAAGTAAATGTTCGAATGATGGCGCTGCAGGTGGACCACAGGCTCACGAGAGTGTGTCACCGAAGACTGAGCCGCCCTTGTCCGCAACGACAGACGCAAGTACAAATAATTACGACGACCCTTCGCCGCAAGGGCCATACCCAAATGCGACGTTCCCGCAAGGAGCCCCAGATATGATCAGCACATACAGAAGTTCGAGCTTTGCCGACCCCCCTTATCATAGGCGGTCGGCCCACGGTTGGAGCGGCTTCGCCGGGACTCTGGCGAGCACGGGAAGGAGTCCAATTTTAGGCCAGCCAGGTATCTCTGGACGAAGCGCTCTAAGCTCGTTGCCCATGCCCACCTCTGGGTCAGGGACGCCACAGCTTGTCCGCACAAGCACGATTTCCAACCCCAGCGGCAGTGGCCACTATCACCATGTTTCTCTATATTCGGCCAAGGCCGTCCTCAAGATCAACGGTAGACTGGAGACCATGACGGAGAATTGGACCCCGGACGAGTGGTCTTCTCGTCGTCGTATCGTCATGTTCCGTCGCACCCAGGCGGGATCGACACTTACAGCCACTTTCCGGTCTGTTGCTGTAAACGAGCGACCCCCCAACAGCATCTGCATCTCATGTATTTACTGGGCCGAGCGTGACTCATACTTTGTTACCTCCGTCGACACTATCTACCTCCTGGAACAGCTTGTGGCGGCACCAAGCCGGTTTAGCGTTGAGGAGAAGAACCGCATCCGACGCAACCTCGAGGGTTTCCACCCACAGACCGTTTCCAAGGTCAAGGCGGACAGTGAGGAGTTCTTCAAGCTTATCATGGGCTTCCCCAACCCAAAGCCCCGCAACATCGAGAAGGATGTCAAGGTCTTCCCCTGGAAGACGCTCGAGGCTGCGCTGAAGAAGATTATTGGAAAATACAGTGCCAACCCCAGCACGCCTGCCATGATGACACCCACACCGTACACTCTTCCAACACCCCCTGGACCCGGCCAGAGCCTGTCGTCCCAGGCGAGTGACCACCACAGCCAATATTCTGTGCACGCAAGTCACCATGACGCGATGCCATCGCCAAGGTCTCTCTCAGGATCACAGCCAGCCTGGACACCCTACACAACTGCTCCGGCTTATCCAACTGCGCCAAGCCGCACGCTCAGTCCCAACATGCGGCTACCGAGTCCGCAACATCCTCCCTCCATTCGTGTCGGCGCCAACCCTCTACCTGCGGTAACGACATACGATACGCGCACGGTGACGACGGCTGGTTACGCTCCGTCGGGTTTGCATGCACCGACAATCCATCATCATGCTGCCACCACGCCTCCTCGCTGGGATACATCCACCCCGAGCTATAGCGACAGTTATCCCAGCTTGGCATCTCACCACACCCAGGGTGGACACGCCGTGTATACGAATGCTACCGCCTCGTACAATGACGCCGGCGTGCCGCGCGCATAAGTTCGAGGTTGGGTAGATGCTACCAAGAGCACCAAGCCCCAGAGGCGACGCCATCTAGTCGTCATCTCACATGGCTCTTGCTAGCGGGGAGGAGAACCCTGTATCCGATGCAGGGTGAGAGTGACTTGCAGCCGCGCGCAAAGCGCCCAGCGGCAGGCTAAAGGGAAGCAGCTGAATCCGGCTGCGGTCAATCATGAGCAACGCATTGGACAGCCTCGTGAAGACCGGCGGCACATGGTTGGAGCAGGCAAGGAGGGGGAGGTTGCCATCCGTTTGGAGGGTCGTGCGGGCAGGTCACCTGGTGCATCGACCCCCAATCATGTGGTCGGCCAGAACACCACCACTGCGACCTTGTCAGGTCTCCACAACGGCAGCCTGCGGGAAGCGTAACCCCATGATGCGAGGCGGGATCGCCATGTTCGCGCGTGTCTCACTCTTGCCGTTCATTGGGAGGAATTCGCCCGTCGCGTCTTGGAGCGTGGGTCTTGGGCTTGCTGAGGGTTCGGTCGCTGGCTGGCTTATGCCTCGCATACTCGATGCAACCACCACCTACCCGTCTGCCTCCTATACGCACCCGGGGGTATCTCCTCATGGCTATTTTTTAAACCCCTGTCTTGAACTCGCAGGTTGCAGCGTGGTGGGGGTTCAGCGATGCGCGGTATCATGGGATTGCATGACTGTGTTAGTATCTCTAACCCAGTTTGCATCCCGCCTAATGGTCCTTTGGCCTGCTACCTTCTGCCGCAACCCCTGACCCCTTCTCTGCCTTTCTCTCTTCATCATCGACTCGCCATGGGGACCCTTAGAGCTGCCGGTGGGTCGCTTGTCTGCCGCTGCGCATGACCTCTCCAATGCTACGACATGTATCCTGTCTGGCAGGAGACCTTGACCATTATCAAAGGATCCCCTCTGGAGCAACTTTGAGTATGTGGGTATCGTCTTGCTACCACACCTTATCTCCACTCCATGAACTGGTCAAGGCATAGCGGTTCGCGTTTCGCTCCAATATTGAGGCAAGGGTAGGGGGACTGATAGACTTGCGCTCACATTTCATTTTTTTGTTGATTTTCCTTTGGAGACTAAATTGAGGATCTTGCTAGATGGGAATTTTGGGATACAATATATCATAGACGGTATGGATGGACATGTTATGGAATGGATACAGGGAACACGGGGGAACTGGATGAATTTTTTGGATATTTTCCTATCTTTGCTGCTGGGACCGTTTTGGTTCTCCCAGACTGGTTTTTCTTTTCTGATTTTTGATTCATTCATCTCGAAGCCCCTTCTTTTTACCCCATCAATCGTTTCACAATCGCTTGTCCTCCCGTTGATTGCGGGACAGGATATTCGCCTTATTTAGTGTGTGCAGGCTCTCCTGCAAGTGGCATATACCCTTTTGAGCATTATTTACATTCATCTGACAGTGGGGATCTTACCATCTTTTCATGTTCAATCCCAGGAGTGTCTCGGGGGGGTTTTCTTTCGTTACGGCTGGCACTGGATTTAGGGAAAAAAGGGAAAGCTCACGGATATTTTTCAACTCCCCATCCCCGGTGGTTTTTGGATGGGATGGGATGGGACGAAGGGAAGCAGCATTTGGTTGGTTTTAGGTGCCAAATGACTCACTGACGGACGGTATGAGTTTGGGTTTATAGAGCATCGTACAGTTTCATAATGATAATTGCATTACACTGAAGATCTTTCGAGTTCCACGCTCCGTTTATCATGTGAACGCTCACTTGGTAGGATACCAAACATGGGAGGGAAGCATGTGTGGCTATTCACGATATGGAATTGCGCAAGACTCGTTTCTCCGTTGGGGAGTATTGCTCAATGGAAATCACTGTTGCACCTCGTTGATTGTTTGTAATGTCATCATCATTACTGGCTAATGGATACGTAGAAAATGGTACAAAACGCCAACTTATTATCTATAGTCGCAGGACCTGGGGCAACTTTAGTTTCCCCCAACCGTTATTATTCTTACGCCGACGTGAAAAAAAAATCACCAGACTTGTTCGCTTCCCCTCCGTCTCTCTTTACTCAATTGTAACCGTCCTTCAGACCTCGGATGGCCACCATGGCGCCCCAAGCACCAGGGTCAGGGGGAAGCTCAGAGTTGTCGCTCGATCCGCCCACATACGTCGCGCGGCCCAGGCGAGGGGTCATGGTCTTGGTGGCCTCGGCGCCCTTGACAGCCGCGTCGACACCCTCGGCGAAGCCGGCCTTCTCCATGGCCTCGGCGAAGGGGATCAGGGTGTCCATGACGGTGCGGTCGCCGACCTGGGCGGGGGTGTACCGCCTCAGGCTGGACAGGGCGGAGGACAGGGCGGCGCCCCAGAGGGCGACGGGGCCCTTGGAGGATGCGAGGGCGATGTTGGACTCGACGGCGGCACGGAGGGAGACGAAGAAGATGCCGAGGATGCCGCCGAGGGTGCCGCCCATCTTTGACTCGACGATCTCCTCGAGCTCGAGGAGGACCTTGACGGCGGAGCCGGGCTTGGCGAGGCCGGCGTCGAGGGCGGAGAGGAGGGCTGTCGCGCCGGTCTTGAGGGTCTCGCCGCAGTCGCCGTCGCCCATGATGGTGTCCCAGCGGGTGAGGTCGGGCTCGGAGTCGACGACGGCGGCGCAGGCGCGGCGGAGCATCGCCTCGAGAAGGGCAGGGTCGACCTTGAGGTCGCGGGCGTCGTCGACGGGTCTGGGCTGCTCCTTGGGGGCGGAGACGATCTGGTCCCGGCGGGGGCGCCGGCGGTTGGACTGGGCGCCGGCCACGGACTCCCAGTAGGTGGTTGTGCGGGCATCGAAGAAGGCCTTGATCTGGTCGAGAGAGTAGGAGCAGTTCTTTGCTGCGGCGGAGGCATTGACGACGGAGACGGAGAAGGCAGGGGCGTTGAGGGAGGTCTCGAGGAAGCCGCAGACGACGCGGACGGGCTCGATGGACCAGGTGGTCTCGAGCTGCTCGAGGAGCTCGTCGACCAGGGCACCCATCTCGAGGTGGGACATGCCGCCGAAGTTGCTGACGAGGAGGAAGGTCTCGTCGCCGGGGGCGAAGTGGACGTAGCCGCGCTCGGGGTCGGACTCGTCGAGGCAGTTCTTGAGGATCTTGGCGACCAGCCCGGAGGGAGAGGGGGGAGGAGAGAGCTTCAGGAAGCCGGGTTCGTTGTGGGGGCCGGTGCCGAGCTCGACCTCGTCTTCCTTCAGGGTGGCGTGCTCGGTACGGCCGGGGACGTGGCAGTGGTCGAGGGTGGCGGCGATGGAGACGATCTGCTGGGAGAAGGCGACACCGAGGTCGTAGACCTCGTCGAGGGAGCCGCCCGCGCCGGCAGCACCGCCCATGACCTTGAGGACGCCGATCTGGCCGGCGAGGCCACGGCGACCGACCATGGAGCCACGGCCCTTGCCAACTGAGACGTCATCGCCGCAGATGATGATACGGCAGTTGTGGCCGCGGGAGTTGGCCTTCTCGTTGGCGAGGCCGAAGTGTAGACAATCGCCGGTGTAGTTGGTGACGACGAGAATAGTGCCCTTGTCGCTGGGGACGGCCTCGACGGCGGCCACGATCTGCTTGGTGCTGGGGCTGGCAAAGATGTCGCCGGGGACAGAGGCGGCCAGCATGTTTTCGCCGACGTAGCCGGTCCAGGCGGGTTCGTGGCCGGAGCCGCCACCGGAGATGAGGGAGACGTTGGCGCGGTTGTAGGCAGTATCGTAGACGATGCGGTTGCCCTCGTCGAGGGAGAGGGACGGGTTGTAGGCGATGATGCCGCGGAGGGCCTTGTTGACGAGGCCGTCGGGCGACTCGAAGAGGTGGCGCTTAGACATGGTGGGAGATGTGAGGATTGGGTATTAGGAGGGTTCAACAAAGACAGAAAGAGAGAAAGCACTGGCTAGAGACAAGATGCTGGAGAGATGATGCGTGATGTATATCGATAGAAGGAGGGGAGGAAAGAGGAGGAGAGGGGAGACGAGACACAGGCGAGAGGAGAGAAGAGGGGTTGTGCGACAGATCGACTCGAATGCCTTCTCCTTCCAATAGGGAGCTATGTAAGAATTATGTATGCACGGCAGGCCACTTGTTTACGTAGTAGCAGAGCACAGAAGCTCTGGCTCTAGCTCCGATCCGAACTCGGCTTGCCTGGAAGAGGGAGAAAGCTTCTGCTGTCCTCGTGGCCAGAGCCCAGCATCCATTGAGGGTCCGGGGAGTGGGTTCGGGCGTCTGCATTCGACACGGCGAGATGATGCTTCGATGCCAGGGAAGAGCTGCGAGCGTGTGTGTCGGTCGATCGCGGGTTGGGAAGAAGCCCCTCTTTGGCCCCTCCTTTGCGGATCTCGACGATTTTGACGGATGTTGGAGAAGCAGGGGTTTAGCAGCCAATGATAGGCCGCTCAATGGATCTAGGACAATAAACTTCTGGAGTCTCGACGCGAAGAGAGGCGCGAGAAGGTCATCGGATTTCCGAATCTGGAAACCCGGCCCCCAGAACGGCTCACTCTCCGCCTCTCGCCTCCCCTCCCCTGGCCTTTAGCCTAGCAGCCCTCGTCCGTGTTCTATTGTGGTCCCGCCGATGTGGGTGACGCAGAGTCTAGAGCATCATGGAGGGGCGACAGCTCTCCTGGTTGGCATCGGGATGCTGTTTCGGAGGCACACCGTGCTCTTGGTGGAGATCGGGGGGATTGTTGAGCTGTGACAGCATGTTTCTTTTCGGTCAATGGCACTCGGCGGTTGATTGATGGCTGGGAACGACGGATGGACATTGGGAGTAAACCGTGTAAGTGACGGATAGGGTTTCGTTAACTTGTCGATCCTGCCACCTCTGTACTGTCCGTCTCGTTTCTCTTGCAATAGTTGTTCATCATCACCACTACTCTGCTCACCTGTTTCTCTTCATACGAATAATACAATACACAATGGCACCTCAATGGAGAATCGTCATGGGCTGCGATGTAAGCACTCAACCACCCACGCACTCACCATCTTCTAATACTGACAACACGTCTACAGGAGGCCGGCCTCTCGTACAAGAACAAGATCAAGGCCGACTTCGAAGCCGACCCGCGAGTCGTCTCAGTGGTCGACGTCGGCTCAGGCGCACCCGACGACAAGACTCCCTACCCAACGCGCGCCGCCGCCGCCGCCCGCCTCGTGGCCAAGGGCGAGGCGGACCGGGCGCTCCTCGTCTGCGGCACCGGCCTGGGCGTCGCCATCGCGGCCAACAAGGTCAAGGGGATCCGCGCGGTGACGGCCCACGACAGCTTCAGCGTGGAGCGCAGCGTCAAGAGCAACAACGCGCAGGTGCTGTGCTTCGGCGAGCGCGTGGTCGGCATCGAGCTGGCGAGGAAGCTGGCCAAGGAGTGGCTGGACCACGAGTTCGACCCGGCCAGCGCGAGCG